ATTTGGAAGGTATTGCTTCATTATCTTCTAGCTTCCAGGGCTGCTGTTAAGAAATCCAAACCCATTTTGATTTCTGTTCCTTTGCATGAGACCCATATCTTGCCTCTGGAAGCTATAGAATCTTCTCTTTGTTCATAGGTTTCTGTGCCTTGATGTGAGCCTATTTTATCCATTGTGCTGGACACTCCATAATCTTTAAATCTAGAAACTCAAGTCATGCAGGCTTGGGGGATTTCTTGAATTATATCACTGATGATGTCTTCTCTGTTTCATTTGCTCTCTCTTCTTAGAGCATTATCATTATCAGAGAAATTACTCAGATGTTGGGTCTCCTAAACTGGATCTCTAATTTCTTAATCTTTCTCTTCTATTTTTTTCTTTTTGTCCTTTTGTTTTACTTTCTGGGAAATCTTCCAACCCTTCTATTTATTTGTTAATATCAAATATAATTTTGGGGGGTAATTTCCAAGAACTCTTTTGTGAATCCCTGAATCTTCATGTTTCATAACATCCTGTTACAGCTTCATAGATATAATGTTGTCTGCTATCTCTCTAAGGAAGTTTGTAATTGTTTTTGTTTTGCTTTGTTTTGTTTTCTTCTCCTTATATAGTTCTTTCCTCTAAGTTGCTTCTTTTGTGTTTGGCTAGTTGGTTGACTTTGACTCTATCATATTAGAAGCTTTCCTCAGATGTCTGGAAATCCTAATTGGTCATATTTGAAAGAGAGTTTAAAAAGCTGAGTTGGTGGGGGTTATCAACTGGGAGCCTCATACCTGTGCTCTGGTTATCCTGCTGATGGGGACAAATGTCCCCATATTTAGCTCTCTCCTCTTGGGCTGGTCAGTCTCCAGGAGAAGACTCCATCTCCAGTATGGATGATAAAGCCCTCTATGCTGCATTCTGGGAGGCAAGTTGGGGCCAGGCAGCTGGGGAGTTCAGCATTCAGAATGCATATGCTCCTTTTATCTACCTGTTTTTCAGAACGATTCCTAGGCCTTCAGCTATGCCTGGCACTCTTGACCCAGATCCCTTGGTTTTTAACCTCTCCAGAAAACAGCACTTCAGACTTCTGCTGGTACAGAGGGGCAGTGGCCCAGCCAGGACGAATGGAGGGAAGGTTCCAATGGTCAACCTATAGCACTTCTCAGATAGTTTTCCTTGCTTTAGCCCTTCCTTTATAGTCCCATCCCATACCTTGTGCTACCAGTTCCTAAGTTGTTTTTTTTTTTTTAATGGGTTTCTATGGGTTTTTTAGGTTTTTTGCTTTGTTTTATTTTTTAGTTTTGAGAATTCCATGGTATAAATCATGCTATTTCTCACTCCCCATCCCCCCAGCCCCCTGGGTTAGTGTTCTCCTGCCTCCAGGCTCCTAAGGCAGTTAGTGCTTGTCTCGCCTTCCAGCTTCCGAGAGGATCTTGCTGTTGTCTTCTCTCTGTTCTCCCTATCTTTGTGCACTTATGTCTTTTTTTAAAAGCTCTATATCGTAGCTTTTGTAGGGTTTCCGGAGGGTCAAAATTAGATGGAATAGTTTGTTTTAAAATTCACCCTTCCACCTGTCATTTGTCTCCGGCAACAGAGGGTGACTGCCTGCATTTCTTTCCAGCTCAGAAATAACCTTTTAAAACGGACTCCTTCCATTCAGCCATGTTCATAAGACAAAACATATCCATACCTTGACACTGCTTTGCTCACATTCCACTCCAAGAACCAAGACATCACCTCAAGGCATCTTGACTTCAACTATGTAGTTGGGTTGTCACACAGAGGATGGAGGAATGCCTCCCTGCTTTGCTCACCTCTTTCCCTTTGCTGCCACTGCTGCTGCTATCTGGGACCACTGCCAACTCTTCACATCTGAAAATTACGGACTTGTACATCATTTACAGAAAGTTGGTGTCACTATCCCAGGGAAGGCAGGTAAGCAAACTTCAGAGAAATAAGACCGTAATGAAATAACTTGTTCCTTAGGCTTAAACTTGTCAAGCAGTAATTCTGATATTTTGAATTCAACACCCTGACATTCTATTATTATTATTATTATCATTATCATTATTATTACTCTTATTTTTTTTTAAGATTTTTTTTTAAAGATTTTATTTATTTATTCACGAGAGACAGAGAGAGAGAGAGAGAGAGAAGCAGAGGGAGAAACAGGCTCCCGCTGAGCAGGGAGCCCGATGTGGGACTCGATCCCAGGACCCTGAGATCATGACCTGAGCCGAAGGCAGACGCTTAACCATCTGAGCCACCCAGGCGCCCCTATTATTACTCTTATTATATGTGGGAAACAATGGTGCTATGGATGCTAGGAAAAGATGCTGGGGTATATATCCTCACTTAGAATTAGAAAAACAGACAAAATCTGCTTTTACTCTCTGGGTCAGCATAAACATTTTTTTTTTAAGATTTTATTCATTTATTTGACAGAAAGAGAGACACAGCGAGAGAGGGAACACAAGCAGGGGGAGTGGGAGAGGGAGAAGCAGGCTTCCCGCCGAGCAGGGAGCCCGATGTGGAGCTGGATCCCAGGACCCTGGGATCATGACCCGAGCCAAAGGCAGACGCCCAATGACTGAGCCACCCAGGCACCCCCAACATAAACATTTTAAAAGGGTGTTGGGGCACCTGGGTGGCTCAGTCGGTTGAGTGTCAGACTCTTGGTTACAGCTCAGGTTATGATCTCACGGTTGTGATATGAAGCCCTCTGTGGGGCTCCACACTCAATACAGAGTCCCCTTCAGATTCTCCCCCCCCGCCCCTCCCTGTTTGTGCCCACACGTGCATGTATGCACTCTCTCTCTCAAATAAATAAATAAAATCTTTAAAAAACAAACTAGGGCACCTGGGTGGCTCAGTTGGTTAAGTGGCTGCCTTCGGCTCAGGTCATGGTCCCAGGGTCCTGGGATCGAGCCCTGCATTGGGCTTTCTGCTCAGCGGGAAGCCTGCTTCTCCCTCTCCCACTCCCTCTGCTTGTGTTCCCTCTATCGCTGTCTCTCTGTCAAATAAATAAATAAAATCTTTTTTAATAAAATAAAATAAAAAACAAACTAAAGTTACGCCTGGGTGGCTCAGTCAGTTAAGCATCTGCCTTCGGCTCAGGTCATGATCCCAGGGTCCTGGGATCGAGCCCTGCATCAGGCTTCTTGCTCAGCAGGGAGCCTGCTTCTCCCTCTCCCTCTGCTGCTCCCCCTGCTTGTGCTCTCTCTCTCACACACACACACACACACAAATAAATAAAATCTTTTAAAAAATAAATAAAAAATAAAAAAACTAAAAGCGTGTTTAGATTTTTCTCAAGATTTCTTTCTCTTGATGAGCTTGGCCTCAGTTCAGTGGGGAGAACCAAGAGCCTCCCTAATTTTCTCATCTTCCTCCTTCTCTCTAGGCCTCAGTTTCCCCATCTATCTGCCTGATGAGGAAAGTGGAACAGAAGATGAGCTCACAGTTCAGGTCTTTCTAAGGCCTTCTAGGGAAAGGGTGGGTCCTGCCCTCAGTCTGGACATCTCTGCCTCCCTCGTGGACCGTGGGCTCCCGAGGGCAGAGTTTGCTTTATTCTCATCAGGGAAGACCCAAAGAAGGAAGGGCAGGAAGCTCCTAAGAGATGACTTCTCACCCAGTGCACAAGGAGCGCAGGGGCTGCTGGGAGATGTTCTATGCCTCCCAAGAATTAGACAGAAGTTGGGGCTGGACAGTAGGCTGATGTTTGTGCATGTGCTCCGGTTCCTGTCCCAGCTCTCCTAGGCTGCTCTGGGTGACCCTGGCCCAGCCTCTGGCTGCCCACAGGCACAGGTAGCCCCAGGGGGCCCCATGGAGTCATTCTGGCAGACCCCTAGTCTGCCAGCTGAGTCCCTGAGCCATCTACTGCCTTTCCCTGTGGCCCTGTGGCCCTAGGCTTGGTGTGTGGCCTGTAGGGTGGAAGGAGAACCCACAGGAGCCCCTAAGCCAGACACACAAAGCACACAGGCAGCTGGGAGGAGGCAAAGAGCCCAGGCCGTGGATTTTTACAGCCCCAGACTGGCTTGGATGCTACATGCCCAGACCACACATACTACTCCACACATAAGGAAGGCGCCCTTGTGGACACGTTTGGATTTCCAAGCTCTTGGTTCATTCACTCATTCATGCAACATTCACTCTTCAAAGCAACTCTGCTGGAGGAAAACCCTTCCTGCGCTGTGAAACCCTGCCTCTGTAAATTCCTAACTGGCCTTGGGCACTGTGTCTCCTCTGTAATGTGGAAGGGATGCCATGAGCATTAGAAATGCTGCAGGTAGGGGCGCCTGGGTGGCTCAGCCGTTATGCGTCTGCCTTCGGTTCAGGTCATGATCCCAGGGTCCTGGGATCGAGCCCTGCATCGTGCCGGGCATCCAGCCCCATATCGAGCCCCATATCCAGCCCCATATCGAGCCCCATATCCAGCCCCATATCCAGCCCCATATCCAGCCCCATATCCAGCCCCATATCGAGTCCCATATCGAGCCCCGCATCCAGCTCTCCGCTCGGCAGAAAGCCTGCTTCTCCCTCTCCCACTCCCCCTGCTTGTGTTCCCTCTCTCACTGTGTCTCTCTCTGTCAAATAAATAAATATTTTTTTTAAAAAAAGAAAGAAAGAAAGAAATGCTGCAGGTAAAGTGCCTGAGGCTGCAGACACGCAGTTCCCGCGGCCAAATCAGGTAGGAGACGAGCGAGCCCACGAGAAATCAGGGCTTGGGTGATCCACAAATATGATTCCCTTGCAAAATAGGGCTCACAAGGGCTTTCTTGTCGCCCGGACAGTGAAAAGAAAGCTGATCGGCTTCCCCAAGGGCGACCGTCGCGCCTGTAGGCAAAAAGGTTTGATCACTGTCCGGCTGGAGAGGGAAGACTAGCCCGGGAGAGTGGCGACAAGTCCCAGCACCCTGGGAGGGAGGGGCGGGCGCCGCGGCAGGAAAGGAGGTGGAGACAAAGGAGGGGTCAGGCCGGGCCAGCTCCGGCTCCCGGGCGCAGGGCGGAGTCCGGGCCGGCCCGCACGCACGCAGGTGAGCTGGCCGGGGCGGAGCGCAGCGCAGCCGGTGCCAGGCTCGGGCGCCCGCGGCCGCCGCTCGGAGCCACCGGCCACAGCCGATTTCCCCAGCGAGGCCGAGGCGCCCCGGAGCCATGGCCGGCCAGAACTGCGGGGTCACAATCGCGCTGCTCGGGGTCCTGCTGCTGGGTGCCGTGCGCCTGCTGCGCGGAGCGGGTGAGTGCGGTGCGGCGGTAGCGGGTGGCGCGGAGTGGTGTTGGTGGCCCGCGAGCAGGGTCCCGGCGAAGGATGCGGAGGAGCCGAGGGACGCCGGTGCGGTGAAGGCTGAGTCGGGGTGCACCAACGGCGCGGGGTCCCCGGGACCGCCGGCTCCAGGGCGCGCGGCGTTGGGCGAGGTGGCCGTGCCCTCCTGGGTTCCGAGCGACCTCGTCCTGGGCGCAGGCCGCGGCACCTAGGAGTGTCCCCGGAGCGGGGTGCCCGGCAGTCGGGGGATGAGCCCCGCGCCGACGGCGCAGGAGGAAATAAGAGCGCGCCCCGACCGATTCCCGAGGACCTGCGGCGCCCTGGGGGCCTCCCGCGGGTGCTTGGGGGCGCCGGGGCTGGGTGTGGGGAAGGAGCTATGCTATGCCCTCCTGGCCCACCCTCTACCTCGTCGCCTGGGCCAGGGAGAAGGCGCAAGAGTACAGTGGTTTGGCGCCCGACAGCTCACCGGATCACCCTTGACCCGGTCCGCACGCTGCATTCTAGCACTCCCGAAGTTCGGGAACATTAATTTGAAAATGAAACCGCCGGGCTGGAGAAGGCCGCCAGGTATCCGCGGCGCCGCCAAGCATCCGCGCCGCCGCCAAGCATCCGCGCCACGGAGGCGCTGCAGTCCCGCTCCTGGCGCCTCTGGGTAGAGTCTGCACTGGGGCCGCCGCAGGGGGTCGGCGAGGGGGCGTTGCAGAGAGGTGTGTGAATTTCCAGTAGTTCCGGTTGTGGGGAGGGACCGCCACCTCCCCGCTGCCTCTGCGCTGCGGGTGCGTGCGGGGAGGTGCCCTGCGGGTCCTGCAACTAGCAAAACACAGAAATAAGCAGGTGTACGAACCTGACTGGAGGCCTTTCCCGCAACTAGCGCAGGTTTTGTGATTTTTTAAAGAGCTGTCCAGGAAGCGATTTGGGTCTTTGATTATTCTTTGCTGCAGCTGGAGGGCGGGGGGGTTGTATTTGGCAGGTAGGTGGAATGTGTGAATTAAGTTAAGGAATAAAGCCAAGCGGGTGCCTTGTAACAAACGCCACCATTACAAACCCACAGGAAAGCTTCCTTGTTCCTTCCTCCCACAGTATCCGGTAACGTTGCTGCACGGTTCATAGAACATTTTAAGACTTCATTTAAAACCTTGTACACGTATGCATATTTACTGTAGAACACATTCACTGTCAGCCTGAATTTTCCAGATTTCCTCTGGGGAAGAAAAAAGTTTAAGAATAGAGTGATTTCGTGAGTGAAAATGTGTGTAAATGTGTGTGAGAAAAATGCATGTCCAATCACACTTGGGAGCTGTATGGAAATTGGAATTGAGATGTTTTGCATTGTCTGTGATACCCAGAACTCCTCCAGTAAGAATACAGTGTAAATCAAGGCATTAGTCATGACAAGGATGACAGGCTGGCCCGAACTGGCCTCTGGTAATGCATCTGATTTCACCCGGTGGCTGCCATTTTGGTTCCCGGTAGCTCCAGCAGAGTCCCTCCCTTCCTTCCCGGAAGTGCCTGACTCTCGGAGCCGTGTCTCATGGTTCAGGTATAAGTATGGGGAAGCCTAGCAACTTCCCATCTCACTTTCTTAAATTCCTCCTGTGGTCCTCCGAACTGGCTCTGTCCGGCCACATCTCTGGCCTGAACTGAGGACTGTGTCTCGGAGGTCTTGCAGAGTACAGTTGCTTTGCCTGAAGTCTTGGGGGTGGCCTAATGGGTATGTGCCTTTGAAGAGTTACTGGAGTCTGTCCAGAAAAGATGGAGACACAGTGAACTTGTTTTTTAAATCCCTGAACTCTGGGGCTGGGACGCCCTGGTGGCTCAGTCGTTAAGCATCTGCTTTCCGCTCAGGTCATGATCCCAGGGTCCTGAGATCGAGCACCACATCCGGCTCCCTGCTCAGCGGGGAGCCAGCTTCTCCCTCTCCCTCTGCCCCTCCCCCTGCTCATGCTCACCCTCTCTCTGTCTGTCAAATAAATAAATAAAATCTTTTAAAAAATAAATCTCTGAACTGTTAACAAAGACTCGGTAGAGTGAAGGTGAGGTTGGCATCTCTGCAGAACTGAACTGTAAAGGGAAGTTTGTGTCTTAGTGTGGTGTGTTGGGTGGGTTTGATGTAACCACCCGCCCTCCCACTTCCAAGAGTGAGGGACTAGTTAAGTTGGAATCATAATTTTGTTAAAACCTCAACTTGGTGACTTTTTAAGAACTGCTGGGATACCAGAGTCTGGGTCAGTGACCCCGTTCTTGCCGCCATTGTTTTTGCCAGAACTGTGAGCAGTCATCAAACAATGTGTTCACTCACCCTCGATGAGTATGTGTGTTCATCATTATTCAGATTCAAATGAGGAGCTGGCTGCTGTTGTCTGGAATGTGTAACTGGCAGGACTGAGGATTCTTCCTCACCCCCACAGATCTTCATGACTTAGGGTCAGAGAGGGGTGCTCTGCTGACTGTAGGGAGGTGCTCTGTTGCTGGCCCATCAGCCTCAGCATTCACCTCAGATGCTGCCATTTTGTCTGTGAAGTCTGTACCCTGCCTACACACACGCTCTTCTGGGGGTTCTCCATCAATTAAAATGTTTCAAGAATATATAGTTATTGTAGAAAAATTGGTAATAAATATAACCAACATGAAAAAAAATCTGTGAGCAAAGCACCTTGGTCATTTTGGTGCAGTCTATCTTTGTGTGTGTGTGTGTGTGTGTGTGTAAAACCAAATATGGGACCATCCATTGTATGGCTTTCACCAGTCCCATTGGACATTTAAGTTGCTTTCCGCTTTTCCTGCTAAAAAACAGAACATGCCTGACAATAGGGGACTGCTTATATCAATTCTGATAGGTCCGTTCAGTGAAAAGACATTAAAAATTACATAGTGCAGGGACACCTGGGTGGCTTAGTTGGTTAAGCATCTGCCTTTGGCTCGGGTAGTGATCCCAGGGTCCTGGGATCGAGTCCCGAGTCGGGCTCTCTGCTCAGTGGCAAGTCGCTTCTCCCTCTCACTCTCCCTCTGTCCTCTCCCTCCCTCTCTCTTTCTCCCTTTCTCTCTCTCAAATAAATAAATAAAATCTTTTTAAAAAATCTTTAAAAATATTACATAGCACAGATTCTATACTGACATACAATGATGTTATCTTTATGTTGTCGAGGTTATAAAATAGTATAAGCTGGATTAGCTCATTTGGATATATCTCAGAATGTGTTCTTGTTCACTGTATTGTTCTGCACTTTCTTGACGATTCTGTCTGACTAAAACTCTGGAAATAGAATTGCTGGCATGAAGAATAGAGAAAATGTTCGGGCGGTGGATCCATCCTCCCCCGTGGCCCTGTGGAGGGCTCGTCCTGTGGTCCTGGTGTACATTCCAACCAGCATGTGCAAGCAGCTGGTTCCCACACTCGCAGGCTGTCCTCACTGTTTCAGTAACATCTAGGGAAGAAGTTTTTTCCTCCCTCTAGTTCAGCAAGTAGGGTCTGAACAGTGTTCTAAGAATCTTAGGAGCACCCCAGCTAGATGGTACTAATAGTCCAACAATGATTTTTTTTGGCCAAAAACCAACCAACCAAAAAAAAAAAACAACAACAACCCAGGGGGCGCCTGGGTGGCTCAGTCAGTTAAGCATCATCCTCAGGTCATGATCTCAGGATCTGGAATCTAACCCCACAGTAGCGGGCTCCCTGCTCAGTGGGGGTCTGCTTCTCCCTCTCCTTCTGCCCCTCGCCCCAACTTGTGCATGCTCTCTCTCTCTAATAAATAAATAAAATCTTAAAAAAACAAAAACAAAAACCCAGAACTGAATCCCTTTGTTTATAACACAAGCCTCACCTGGGATTCTGCACAGCAGTGCCGCCTTGGGTTTGGATAGGGGAGGGGGTGGAGTTTGCTGGTTGGAGGGCTTCATGATTGAGCTCAAGGTGGGTGGGGCAGTGGGGGATGACAAGACCCCTGCTATGGGAGACCCATGGCTAAGGCTCTCCACCTGACTGATTAAGAAAAGTTCGTACCCTTTAATTATGATTCTAAATTATCAAAATTATCCCACAATCAAATTATTTCAAACCACTTCCGACAGCCTTGTAATTAGCCCTTCACCTTCTCCCAGGCAGCTGGCAACGTTCTTGATAACCAGGCCAGGAGAGCCAAGTTTCCTACCTCACCCCCTTGTAGCCTTGAATTTGTATTCAGTACATCATTTTTTAAAAACACTAACTACTTCTTGTCATAGCTAACACATATGGAGCATCTGCTCTGGACCAGCCACTCTTCTGAGTATTTTATATGTAAGCATGTCTCACCATCAGTAATTCATTCTTTAAATTTTTTTAAAGATTTTATTTATTTATTCATGAGAGACAGAAAGAGAGAAAGGGAGGCAGAGACAGAGGGAGAAGCAGGCTCCCTGTGGAGCAGGGAGCCTGACGCAGGGCTCGATCCCAGGACTCTGGGATCATGACCTGAGCCAAAGGCAGACGCCTAACGACTGAGCCACCCAGGTGCCCCTAATTCATTCTTTAAAACCAGACATTCTGCATGAAACAAAAACTGATGCCGTACATCTCATTGTTTCATATGGGAAAAACTGTAACAACCCAAACCCCCAACTGTTTCCAAAAGCATAAACACAGAAGGACACCCATCTGTAATTAACCGATTCTATTCAATGTAAATACATAAGACGTCACTTCTGGATTGCCAAACTGTTTATGTGGTTCTTGGTGGACAGCTGCTTTGTGTGTAGTAACTTGCTGAACCCCCACTTGTTGACACTCGGGGCATCTCCATCAGATCCTGACACTCCACCTATTTGTATTTGCAATGTAAGTCGAGACCTTCTGAGTATTATTTTGTTTAAAATGTTGTGTTATGTTTGGAGCTGTAAATATTCCTGTTTCCTCTCTTTCCCCCGGAAAGAACTATGATAGATGAAACCAAGTTTGAGTCAAAAAAACTAAGCTAGGGGCGCCTGGGTGGCTCAGT